ACACACACACACACACACAGGAGTTGTGAGAACATGATTAAGTGCGGTGCGTCCCGCTGGGGGAAAGATTTAAGAGCGTCGAGCTGCATTTTTGTTTTCAATCTCTGACCTCAGCAGCAGATTCATAAAACAGCGTGGTGGTTTGTTTTGTGGAAAGCGAGTGAAGCTTTCCTCTCATCACTTGTCACAGATGCTGACAAGATAATTCACTGATCAGAAAAACAGCATTTTTGAAAAACCCCAGTGCTTGTAGATTCTCCAAAAGGAATTTTATTTATTATTTATTTATCTGTCTCGTCGTTGATTTGCTGATTGATATGTGAATTAGCAGAGAAAGATGCTGTGAGAGAATGAACAGCGGAGAAAAATATCAAACTGCTTGTGTTTTTCAATGTTTTTATCTGACCACTGCTCTCAAACCCTCTGTTCCCTCTCCCACAGCTGAGGAACGGCAACATCCAGTACATCTCAGACGCCGGCGTCGGTGGGAAGGTGGAGCGGACCGTGGGGGACGCAGTGCTGTCAGACGGTCAGTGGCACACGCTCCAGCTGGTCAAGAACGGCTCGGCCACTGTGCTCCAGGTGGACAGCGGCCACCCCAGGGTCATCCAGCATCCCACGCAGGACTTTGGGGGTCTCGGCGTCGTGACCTTTTCTCTGGGAGGGATCCCACCTGGACCTGCGCAGCAGAAAACTGGAGCAGGTGAGGCCGGAAGGTGTTTCTGTCTCTAACCGAGTGTTAAAAACGTTCTTTTCTGGCTTGTGTCTGGAAGATCGCCAGTTTGATCGCAGACTGGGATGGATGAGTCTTGGCAGGGGAGGTGAAAGTGTAGTTTTCCACTCCCTCATTACTACAACTGAGGTGCCTTTGAGCAAGCCCCTTAATCCCCGTCTGCTCCAGACACGAAGATTTCACAAGAGAGATTTTCTCTGTCCAGAGAAATTATATACTGTGAACAAATGATCCACTTAACGTCATGTGGAGTATGTAACATATGTGGTGGGAGAGGGCGGAGGTTTTGTTTATGGAGCTGCTAACTGATGCAACCATAAAGAACGTCATTATCCTGACCTTCATCAGACAGTTCAGAGTCTAATGATGATCTAAACGTCGTCTCAGAGGGTTTTTACCGTCGAGAGCACTTTTTTTTTTTGTTTTAACAAGAAACTTGTCATATTTATCACCTTGTACACACTAATGGAGATATTTTTTGCGAAAAAAAAACTTTTTCCTAGTGCGGTTTGAGCCTCTCGTTCACACGCAAACACAATTTTAAGTCACCAAAACATAACATTTCATAAACTCCAGTGTCTGTTCATCTGTGTGGACGAATAAAACCTTCTCAGCCAGGAACTAATTTTTCCGAAACCACATGAACAGTTGATTTATTTTCTCATTTGGACGCAGAGTTTCTGTAAAGCAAACTAAAATTACGGCAGAAGTCAGAGCCCTCTCCAAAATATATCCTCGTTGAACGTGCACCATATTTACACACGTGTTTGTATGTGTGGACGAACATGTGTATTTACGTGCCGTGTCAAACACACACATGCTGAATCTCTCAAAATCTGGCATCTGACCAAGAAACTCACCCACTCTTCACCCGCTGTAAATTACCAACCCAGCGGTTTTCACATGTTATGGAAACCTCCTCTACACGCTCACACACAGTACACATGTGAGACACAGCTCTCATGATCCTGTGAGCCCTTATAAATCCTCTACAACCCTCTTTTTTCTCCTTCCCCCAAAACGAATTAATAGTCTGCAGCTTAAACTGCTGACCCTGTTTGGTGTCCGTCCAACACGACTCCATTAAACTGGCTGGAAGTCTGTGTCTATTTGTCACTGCTGAGATTTACCTGCTTTGAATTTACAGTAGTTGAGTAAATGTTTCTTCATCAGAGAATCGTTTATGCACAAAATACACAAATTCATTTGATTCGGCCTCGTCCCGGAGCCGCTGCCTTTGAGGACTTTTTTACTGTTTTTGTCTTTTTTCCACGGGCTCTCGTCATAGTTTAGACCTAAATCACAGATGAGACGTCCTGAAATGTGAGTTGAGAACAGTTTGCAGAAGGTGAAGGAGACGGTTTCCACAGGGAGGTCATAAAGCACAGTAAATTTCAGAGATTCAGGGGAGGGGAGAGTCTAACCTGATACTATGGACTAATATGGTAAAAATGAGCAATTTGAATGATTTCTTGACCTGTTTTACACAAGGACCAGGGCATATTTCAAAACAAACATATCCTGAGCACGCAGGTCTGTGGCGGGCTGCCCGTCCACCAGCCCCTTCCTCTGTGTGCGTCTGAACAGTCGTGTTCTCTTGTGTACTCACTTTTCGAGAGCTAATGAAAAGACACAAATGGATTTAATCTGCACTGGGATAAATTCAATAAAATCTATTTACATCGGTGAGGCAGCGCTGTTAGGCAATACACAAAGCAAAAGATTGAATTAGACACAGAGACGTTCATCCAACCCAGATGTATGTCTTGAAGCTATAATGGCACTGACGATGGATTCTCTGTTTGAGAAAAAAAATCAGACTTCTCCTCCTCAACCAAATTGGTCAGTGATAGATTCACCCCATTTTTTAAAATATGATTTTTTAAGGAGGTGCTTTCTACAAGGAAATTTCTCTTTTTATTTCTTTTTTTTGTGCAAAGCTTGAACCAATTACCCGTCTAAACAAAATTCCTTTAGCTCTGATTATAACTCCCAGTTCCTGTTATTTTCAAGGAAGCGATCCAGCCTTGGCAGAAATTTTGAAAACCCATCAATTGGGAATGATTCTCCTCCAGGCCACTGTTATGTCCTTGTTAGCTGCTGTTGGCTGTTTCTCGTTTATTTGATCCAGTTCTCTCTCTCTCATTCATTCACAGGTTTCGATGGCTGCTTGGCCTACGTGAAGTACAACAGGGAGAACCTGCCGTTCACTGGCGAACACAACCTGGTCACCTTAACCAAGACCAGCTCATCGGTGAAGATCGGCTGCAGAGGTCCCAACCTTTGTGAGAGCAGTCCGTGCTGGGATGGTCTGATGTGCGTCAACCAGTGGTACACGTACCAGTGTGTCCCGCCCGGCGACTGCACTTCTAATCCCTGCCAGAACCACGGCAGCTGTGTGCCTGATCCCCACTCAGGTTTCACCTGCGTCTGCTCTGAGTTCTACACAGGAAAGACTTGTGAGACCTTGGTGGCCTGTCTGGGTGTCCAGTGTCCTCAGGGTACCGTCTGCAAAACAGCCAACAATGGTGGCTTTGTCTGCAGCCCCAGCCCCACGGCAGAGACGATGGTCCTCCCCATCTGGGCGGTGCCTGCTATTGTCGGCAGCTGTGCCACTGTCCTCGCCTTGGTGGTCCTCAGCCTGATCCTGTGCAACCACTGCAAGGGCCGCAACAAGACCAAAGTGCCAAAGGAACCCAAGGAGAAGAAACCCAAGGAGAAGAAGAAGAAGAAAAAGAAGAAGGGTAGTGAGAACGTAGCATTCGATGACCCAGATAACATCCCTCCATATGGAGATGACATGACGGTACGGAAGCAACCAGAAGGGAACCCCAAACCGGATATCATAGAGAGGGAGAACCCTTACCTAATCTATGATGAAACAGACATTTCCCACAACAATGAGACTGTACCCAGTGCCCCCTGCGCTCCCTGCAATGGCCCGGAGGCAGATATTGAACATTATGACATAGACAACGCCAGCAGCATCGCTCCTTCAGACGCAGACATCATCCAGCACTACAAACAGTTCCGTAGCCACACACCCAAGTTTTCCATCCAGAGACACAGCCCGCTGGGCTTCGCCAGGCAGTCCCCCTTACCGCTCGGAGCAACAAGCTACACCTACCAGCCCCAGTACACGCAGGCACTGAGGTCCACGCCGCTCAGCCACTCCCACTCAGCGTGCCCCACCCCCAACCCTCTGTCCAGACACTCCCCAGCCCCGTTCACCAAGCCCTCGTCCTTTTACCGAAACACCCCAACGAGAGAGCTCAACCTGGCTCGCCGTGAGGGCAGCCCACTGGATCTACACAATGACATGTGCCAGCCACCGCCCATGTTCAACTACGCCACCCGGCTGGGGAGGCGCAGCAAGAGTCCTCAGACCATGGCCAGCCACGGCCACACCTCCAGGCCTGGCAGTCGGCTGAAGCAGCCGATAGAGCAGATCCCCCTGGAGACTGGGCCACCGGTGGGGCTATCTATCGAGGAAGTGGAGCGTCTGAATACTCCACGCCCCCGCAACCCCAGCATCTGCAGCGCCGACCACGGGCGCTCCAGCTCTGAGGAGGACTGCCGCAGGCCGCTGTCAAGGGTCCGCAACCCTGCAGACGGCATCCCGGCCCCAGAGTCCTCTTCAGAAAGTGACTCTCATGACTCCTTCACCTGCTCGGAGATGGAGTACGACCGGGACAAACCGGTTTCTTACAGCTCCCGGGTCCCCAAGCTCTCACAAGTCAACGAGTCAGACGCTGACGACGAGGACTACGGCGGGAGGCTCAAGCAGAGGCGTTACTCAAGTCGGAGGGCAGAGGGAGGGCCGGGTGTTGCCCAGATGCCCCCTGGGGAGCAGCACTACACCCTGCCCCACAAACTGGGCCAGCAAGCTGGGGGCTTCAACTGGGACAATCTCTTGAACTGGGGCCCCGGCTTTGGACATTATGTTGACGTGTTCAAGGACTTAGCTTTGCTTCCGGAGAACGCGGCGGCAAAAGACATTGAAATGAACAGTGGGGATGGTTCGGTGACCATTCTAAACGAAGGAGAAGCTGAGCAATATGTATGAGACTATTTATTATGATGTAGAATATGGTGATGTTCTCCA